TATGATAAAAAGAAAAAAACAAACAAAGAAACAAACAAAAAACAAAACAAAAGAAAAATCCCCAAACCAAATCCAAAAACACCTCTAAAGAAATAGGCCAAATTATTCCCACAAATTTCTGATATGATGTGTTTGAATATGGAAATTAACTTCTATATTGAATTCTATAAATAGAATGAAAGATGGGTCTTTTCTGTAGAGTTGGATTTAGAACATTTCACCTACTATGAAATGGAAACAGGTTTCTAATTTGGTTGAATCCCTGATAAAGTTTGAATTCAGCTGACAATTAGTTACATTTCACTTTAGAGGTTCAGTTCTTCATTATGTCTTGACAAAACTGTGGCTCCAGACAGGACTGAGATATGGATCAAGCAATGGAAAAAACGGGACTGATGGAGAATAACAATAAGCCAGTGGATACCAGCTAATAAGCTGAATTTTACTGATCATACACAAGCATAATTTAGGGACAATGTAAGGCTGCCCTGGTCGCAGTGGTTTTGCTTATTCTTTCTGACTCATTGTTTTTTCTGCTTTCCTCCTGTTGATGCATCAGCTTAGTATTACGTAGCCTTCATGTGCCCTGGTGCGACACTGCATGGCCAAGCTGCATTCCCAGGTCTTTCCTACCAGTGTTAATCTTTTCTGCTGACTGATAAGTAACAGGGGGATTAAAAGAAGAAAGAGTGAAGTGTCAGAAACCAGAAGCAGGATTAAGGGAAAGGCAGGGACAGGAGACATTATCGTGGGCATCTGCTACAGGCCACCTGATCAGGAAGACCAAACGAATGATGCCCTCTGTAGACTGATAGGTGTAGCCTCATGTTCACAAGCCCTGGTCCTCATGGAGGATTTCAACCACCCTGGTATCTGTTGGAGGGACAACACTGAAGCACATAATCAATCCAGCATTGATGATAACTTCCTTCTCCAAGTGATAGTGGAGCCAATGAGGAGAGGTGCTGTGCTGGACCTTGTTCTCACCAAGGAGGAGCTGGTGGGAAGTATGAAGCTCAATGGCAACCTTAGCTTTGGTTACCATGAAATGGTAGATTTCAAGATCCTTAAGGCGGTGACAAGGGTACGCAGTAAACTCGCTACCCTGGACTTCAGGAGAGCAGACATTGGCCTCTTCAGGGATCTGCTTGGCAGACTAGCATGAGATAAAGCCCTGGAGGGAAGAGGGGCCCAAGAAAGCTGATTAATATTCAAGTATCGCCTCTTCCAAGCTCAGTAGTGATGCATCCTGACAAAGATAAAGACCACCAGGAGGCCTGCATGGATGAACAAGAAGCTCCAGGACAAGCTCAAACATAAGAGGAAGCATGCAGAGGGTGGAAGGAGGAATACATAGAAACTGTCTGGGTAGCCAGGGATCAGGTTAGGAAGGCCAAAGCCCTGATAAAATTGAATCTGGCCAAGGATGTCAAGAGCAACAAGAAAAGCTTTGATAGGTACTTTGATAAAAAAAAGGAAGACTAAGGAAAATGTGGACCCTCTCTGTAAGGAAAAAGACTTGTTCAATCAGGATATGGTGAAGGCTGAGGTACTCAATGACTGTTTTGCCTCAGTCTTCACCAGCAAGTGCTCCAGCCATACTGCCAAAGGTGCAGAAGGTAAAGGCAGAGACAGGGAGAATAAAGAACCACCTACTGTAGGAGAAGATCAGGTTTGAGACCATCTAAGGAACCTGAGGTACACAAGTCCTTGGGACCTGATGAGATGCATCCACAGGTTCTAGGGAAACTGGTGGATGAAGTGGTTAAGGCACTGTCCATCATATTTGAGAAGTCATGGCAGTCAGGTGAAGTTCCCACTGACTGGAAGAGTGGAAACACAATCCCCATTTTAAAAAAGGTAAAAAAGGAAGACCCAAGGAATTACAAGCCAGTCAATCTCACCGCTGTGCCCAGCAAGATCATGGAGCGGATCCTCCTGGAAACTGTGCTAGGGCACCTGGAGAATAAGGAGGTGAGTGGTGACAGCCAGCATGGCTTCACTAAGGGCAAATCATGCTGGACAAACTTGGTGGCCTTCTATGATGGGGCTACAGCGTTGGTGGATAAGGGAAGAGCAACTGATGGCATCTACCTGGACATGTGCAAAGCATTTGACACTGTTCTACATGACATCCCAGTCTCTAAGTTGGAGAGACATGGATTTGATGGATGGACCATTCAGTGGATAAGGAATTGGCTGGATGGTCGCACTCAGAGAGTTGCAGTCAACGGCTCGATGTCCAAGTGGATAGCAGAGATGAGTGGTGTTCTTCAGGGGTCAGTGTTGGGACTGGTGCTGTTTACCAACTTTGTTGGTGACATGGACAGTGGGATTGAGTGCACCCTCAGCAAGTTTGCTGATGACATCGAGCTGTGTGGTGTGGTCGATACACTGGAGGGAAGGGATGCCATCCAGAGGGACCTTGACAGGCAGGCCCATGCAAGTCTCATGAAGTTCAACAAGGCCAAGGTCCTGCACATGGGTTGGGGCAATCCCATGCACAGATACAGGCTGGGTGATAAGTGGATTAAGAGCAGCCCTGCAGAGAAGGACTTGGGAGCAGTAGTGGATGGAAAACTGACTATGAGCCAGAAATGTGTGCTTGCAGCCCAGAAAGCCAACTGTATCCTGGGCTGCATCAAGAGAAGTGTGGCCAGCAGGTCGAGGGAGGGCATTCTCCCCCTCTACTCCGCTCTTGTGAGACCCCACCTGGATTACTGCATCCAGCTCTGGGGCCCCCAGTATAAGAAAGACATGGACCTGTCCAGAGGAGACCACAAAGATGAGCAGGGGGATGAAACCCCTTCCTTATGAGGACAGGATGTGAGAGTAGGGGTTGTTCAGCTTAGAGAAGAGCAGGCTCCAGAGAGACCTTCTAGTGGCTTTCCGGTACTTAAAGGGGGCCTACAGCAAAGATGGGGAGGGACTCTTTAACAGGGAGTGTAGTGATAGGACAAGGGGTGACGGTTTTAAACTGAGAGAGGGTAGATTTAGATTAGACAGAAGGAATTTCATCACTGTGAGGGTGGTGAGACAGTGGAACAAGTTGCCCAGAGAAGCTGTGGCTGCCCCCTCCCTGGAAGTGTTGAAGGCCAGGTTGGATGAGGCTTTGAGCAACCTGGTCTAGTGGAAGGTATTTATGCCCATGGCAAGGGGGTTGAACTAGATGGTCTTTAAGGTCTCTTCCAAGTTTTTAAAGCAAATGTGAAAAGAATGGTTTCTTTTATCAGTTAGATTCTCAGGGTTGTGCACTGTCCAAGCTCTGAACTTGGAAATGTCTTCAGTGAACAGCCAAATCACTCTGAAATATACATGCAGAATTTTGCGCATACTGTTGGTGTTTTGGCTCAACAGAGAAAACAATCAAGAACAGCTCTTAACATGTGTAGAAGGCCTTCGTATGCAGACATAAGGAAGAAATTCTTTACTCTGAGGGTGGTGAGACAGTGGAACGAGTTGCCCAGAGAAGCTGTAGCTGCCCCATCCCTGGAAGTGTTGAAGGCCAGGTTGGATGAGGCTTTGAGCAACCTGCTCTAATGGAAGTATTTCTGCCCCTGGCAGGAAGCTTGGAACTAGATGATCTTTAAGGTCCCTTCCAACCCGAATCATTCTATGATTCTATGATCTGCCTGTTCCATTAATCTGGCAACTTGCTGCTTTCTGAGTCCCTTGAGTTATATGATCTCAATGGGAGTAAGAGACAGGCAAGCACCATCCAGATCATGGAGTGAAGGAGTGCAAGGGGAAAGCACAGAGGAAGAAGAAGGAAAAGTTCTGGTGCCAGACATTGTTCCATTATACGATGGGCCTGCTCTGATCTAGTTATGGACTCCTCTTTCTGACCCATTCCCATGGGTATGCTGGACAGCATAGCCCTCCTAATGGCACCTCTTGGCAGCTGAGAAAGAAGAGGTGCTGGTAGAAATGTTCCTAAACTTTATGGTAGTGAGAGATTTTCCTAAGTGTGATTCATCAGTGAATAGTTCCCTAGACAGCATCTCCTCTTTCACAGTAGAAAGTAAATCTATAAGATTATGAAACCTTAACCCTGAAGTTTTCATAACACTGGAGTTTGAGATTGTTCAGAGCTGAACACTGATTGAGACTTAACTTCAAATGATTCAGGAATTGCTGAAATATTTAGTATTCATTTTCAATAGAAATGAGTTCTTTCTTGATTCCAAACTCCTCTAAATGTGAGGTTTCACTGTTTTATTGTTTATCTATCTTAGCACCTTTTAAAATGAATATTGTACTTCAGCGACAAAGGGAATGCATAAGGCTGTGTACTTTACTGTATCAGTCATCTTAGGGCAGGTAGGCTTGTGGGTGGTTCCTGTGCTAGAATACTATACTGTATTATCAGAAGTGCAGATACAAAAAAAATACACCTCCCACTGTTTTTTACTGTAGAACATTCATTAGGGGTGTGTGCGTTTAAAAAAAAAAAAAAAAGAAAGTTACAATTGTTGATCCCTTATTTTCACCGTGCTTTTCCAGATGGAATATTTTGTCTTTTCAGATATGCCTTCTGTAAGTATTAGAAATTTGGAAAGCATTAATGCTTTTTATGCTTGGCTATACATAATTTGTGTAACCATTGAATCAGCTTGAATACATTTATAGAGAATATTAATAATTTAAAAATCATTGATGATTTTACGAAGAAAGTCAAGGTATTGACCCTCAGGGAAGGACAATGTAGGTTTTGTCTGAGTTCTGGTCCTAATACTTGTGCATAGAGTCTTCAAAAAGTAAATCAAAACAAAGCGTTGTAAACTAGTCATTAGAACTGAAAGCATCAAGCAGCATTAGAATTATTTTTTAACTTGTTTTCACATTTCAAGGTTAGCACACTGATGAAGACAGTGTACTCTGCAGAGGATACTATGAGTAGAACTGTCAAAAATTATCTCCTTTTAAACAGCAAAAACCATCAATTGAAATTTCCTCCTAGCACCCTTATTGACTTCATTTTTTTTAAATTTTTTTTACAGAGGATCTTTCTCAGAGCTGGAAGTGAGGAAGAAATCTTTGCACATCTTGGATTGGATTATGTTGAACCATGGGAAAGGAATGCTTAAAATGATTTGCCAGTTACATTCATCAGTTGACAGCAATGATCTTTCTGCTTATCTTGCAGTCTGATATAGATATATATAGATATAGAGATGCATATGAAAATATTCGTCCCTATGAAAACTACAAAATTTTAAATACATATTAGAAGCCATTATAGATGCTGATGTTCCTAGTAATGAAGAGTTTAAGTTCTTCAGAATATTTTCCAATATTTTCTGTTTTAGTTTTTGAAGTTTCTATATGGGAGTAACAAGAAGGAGCTTGTTTTTTGGGGGAATACTTGAAAATGGTGAGATTTTTGCTTGTGATAGAAATTTAACATTCCTGTGAACAATACTTGCTTGTTAAAGTCCTGTTAGCTGTAACAATACCTGAATAATACAAAGTATTTGAGCTATTTGAGTATTTGAGTCCAAAAATTACTGAAAAGCATGCTTATCTTTAACAGAATTTCTCAAGTATTTTGCTGAATCTATATATAAAATTGGTACTGTATAAAAGGCTTAATAACCTAGGCAGTAATTAGTCTAGCAGTCTCAGCAAGTTGAGGCTTCATCTGTAATATTTTTTCAGGTAGGGCACCACTCTACAAAAATTGTAAGCAAGTTGATAATTCAGTGAGAGTTGAAAAACATTTCACAGGAAGGAATTTTGTAAAGGAAAAGTGGAATAATTCAGTAGCAATCTTCAACTGTGAGGAAATATACTATAAATCTGGAATATTTTATTTGGACTAAAAAAGATTCAGGTTGTGTGATGTAATGTTCCTCAATCAGGAATCTGAATCATATCCTGCATGAAAACAAGTGCTTTAGCTGTCATGCTGGTGGCTGCTCCAAGGTGAAAGATTTTAATTGTCTGTGCTCAATTTATATAGCTGGAAATTAATTCATTAGTATATATATTGTGTGTGTGTTTGTGTGTATATATATTGTATATATATATATATATATATGCAATGGAAGTTTGCCAGAGCTGTTTGGCTATTAGCTGCTCTAGAATGGTATTCCCTCTTTTTGGTCAGAAATTCATCTTGGATGTGAGAGACTTTCTGATAAAAGTAATGCTATGAGATATTTTGGTTTCAGAAAATTTCCAGGTAGCTCTTGTGACTGTAATGATAATGAAGAATTTGTAATACATTTATCCTTTAATGAACAAGGGCATTTAATGCTTTAGGAGATGGAGTTACTTACTGACCATTCATTTGTCATTTGTAGAATAAAGGTGATTAAGAACACCAGGACTGATCAAATAAATTTATTTTTTAAAGGCCTGATTTTTTTTTTTCCTTGTTAAGGCTGATTTCACATGTTGGCATGACAGTGTGAGAATGGCAGTGACAGGGCCATACACAACAATTATTACTGACAGTAGTGGTTTCCCATATTCAAATGATGGTAATATTCCTTGGCAACATAGACTTGAAGGTTCTACACATGCATAAAAAAATATGGCAAGCCTTAGAAAAATAGTGCTTACCTACAGGATAAATTACTTAAAGTGCAAGTGCCAAAACTATTGCTGGTAAGAGAAAATTTAATAGGAACTTCTGAGAAGCTGCTTCCCCAAAGGATGATTTGCCTAGTACAGTAGGCAGGATAGCGCAAGTATTAACAAAATTTCCAATGTGCAGTTTTATGTGCAACCACCTATTTCTGGTTGTTAAAACAGGTAGTAGCTGTAATTTTGTGAAAAGTATTAACTCATTATCATAGTTAGTACTCTAAAAACAATTTGAAAATAGCTGTTCACATTAAATTCTATCTATCTGTTGCCCAGATCTTTTAGGATACAGTTTATGCAGCCTACTTCCTATCTCCTCTACTGTATCCATAAAAAAAAATACTCTCATTCAGTTTAATGCATTTATTCACCAGGCTAAAATGTTACAGGATCAGGCCCAAAAGTGACTGTAGGAACGGAAGGCTATTTCTGAACCAAGGATCAGTTTTTGCTACAAGGGTCTCATTCGATACACACACCCATCTGGCTGACAGGTAGATTTCCTAAGCTTTAGCAAACAACCCAAAACAGAAAATAAGCACGAATGGCTCTATCAGACTTACTGTAAGAAATGCATGGTATGATATGAATCCATTCTATAATTTGTGGTAATCCAAATTTTATGGTACAAGCAATTTGAATTCTGTAATTTAAACCTAATTTGAAGTCGTTAGTAGCAATGTAGGCAAGACTTTTTTTACAGATACAATTACATGCCAGTTTTGATACTAAGGAAATGTATGATGAATTTGTTTACTGGTGCCTTTCAATTTAGGAATGGACTTTTAGAGGACTGCGTTGTAAAAACCTCAGTCAAGGATGTAGAAAAACGTGATAAGAGCATGGAATTTTATTCTTGCCTGTGCCAATAAAACTGTCCTTTTTAACTGTAGTTTTGTTAACTGAGCTGAAAATATAACACTACTTTCTAAATTGCTTCAGCTAGAAGGCACTGGCATTGCTTCCGCCTTTATTGTGCTGATGTATGAAGCACCTTCTCTGTGTTTTGCATCAGGATGCTGAAACTTAAGTAGTAATGACATTTCTCAGTCCAAGTGGAAGAGAACAGTAGCTACAGTACCTTATCTAAATATGCTTTCTACTTGGCCAACATTTATCAGAAATTATACATTCCTGTTGTGCTGTTTCTGCATACTTCAAGACACAGAGGAACTATGAAACATTCTGATTTCCACATAAAGAAATAACTCCCATCTTGCCTGCCTATGCATCACTTATAATTATACCACCCGTGGGGGAGAAGATACCAAACACAAGTTCTGTCAGCTCCTTCAAGATTGGAAGAAAACAGAATATTGCTTTATTCTTTTCCCTCAATTTTTCTGAACTTTTGTTAGAATACATTTTACAGATTACTCACTGGATCAAGTAGTATCAAAAATTATGGAACTGTCAAGTGAGGGGGTGGATTAAACAGAAGGTCAGATTAGATGACCAAGATGGTTTGACTATGAGGATAGCTTCTGTTATGAACATGTCCACTGAAGAAGCTGGTACCCTGGTCACTGTCATAGCTATTGTATGCAGGATCATCCCTGACAGCACTAGCCAAACTCATTGTGCATGAAAAGGCAGAGCTAGAATAGAATAAACTCAGGGTTTTTTAAATAAACTAGGAATCATAACATGATGCTTCTTGCATCAATTAAATCTAGTCCTACAATTCTGAATAGTCCCAGCCCTGTAATGATTTCAGTGGTTCTTGATGGTGCTAGTCAACTGAGACTATAATTAGAAAAGATAGAAGTCATATAGGAGAACTGGGATGGAACAGGTTAAAAGAAATAAAACCTTTATCAGTTGAACATATCTGGATCCATGAGCATGCTGAAAACTCCCTGCAGTGTGGTGGAACTGTTGGAGTCAATGGTAATGATGCTTCTGAACTCACTAAGGACAGGTGAGGCCTGGGGGCCTGGAAAAGGGCAAACACTTGTAAAAAGAACAGACCAATGTTTATAACAGGAGGAAGGGAAGAGACAATTTCAGATCAGTGTGCTTAATATCTCCTAAATTGCTAGAATGATTAATAGGCTTTATTTTTAAAGCACCTAGAGGAAAATAAAGTAATAAGTTATTGGTAACTTGTTCATCAGAAACAAATCATACCAAACTAATTCAGTTCTAAAGTCCCTGGAGGCTGATTTTTAAAATGTCTGTCTCTCCTCCCCTGCTTCTACACCAAGGCAATTTGGCAAGTAATAAGAAGAGAAGGATCATTGGTTTTATAAGCATCTACATACTAACTCTCTAAAAATTGATCAGTGACTCTATCTCTGGGAAAAACAGGTAGAATTTAAAAAAGAAAACCACTATATTTCTTTCATGGTTTGTGGTAATCTGTGATTTGTCAAATATTCCAGATAACACTTTCCAGTGACAAACACGGTATAACATGTATTGTATAAACAACATAATGTAGTCATTAAAAGACAAACAAATTCAAATGCACAATCATAGAAATGATTTGCTACAAATCTCTTAAGGCAAAAGCAATGAGATATATTTAGATTGGTGGGTAATAACATAGTTAATGTCATCACTGAATCTAGGTGGTGTAATATACTAAACGAAGAGCCTATTGTATCTATACAACTACAAAAATATAAATCCAGGCAACCTAAATGTGCATGCAGTTGGTTCTATAAACTTTCTGGAAATCACTGGAAACCTGAGAACTGCTCTTACTTTACATAAATAACTCCAGAACTTTAACAAAACAAACCAGAAGATCTGCATACCTTATAATCCCCAAATGAAATGTGTTTTCTATAGTTTATGGCCAGAATTGTTTGGATTTTTCAGGTGAGACCATCTTATTCCCTAGTATGAAATGTATTCTTTCACTTGTTGAACAGCTATTTCTTTCTATGATACAGTTTCTTTCAGCAACTGAAGCTAAAATAATCAAGTCCTGGGTCTAGAATGTTAATTGTGAAGTCACATAAACAAATGAAGACAGGGAGCTTTGAAAATCTTTCATAGAGGTTAAGCTTCTGCTTGTGTGCCTGTCAGTCTAGCTAGGAGGCAATGCTGCTGGCTTTGCCTTTAAGGGCACAATAGGGGCCATATCCATAAAAATATTATGTGTATAGCTATAGGTGAGCCAGACCTTCAGGGCTTTACACTTCTAAATTCAGCTAATTAGCTGATCTCTGTCTGTATACATGTCAAGCTTTCCAAACAATCTTTGTCCCTGCTGTGTAACTACACTAGAGTGCCTTTTATTTTAATCAGGATGCATCAGATATAACTTGTTTTAGCTGCTGATGCTCCTTAGGAAAAAAAATCTGTTCACAGTCATGGTTAGTATTCTCCCTTTAGGATCTAATTTATTTAGGATGAATTGTCTTGTGCCTGTTTACAGCTTTTTTTTTTTTTTTTGGTATGATTTGTTGTATTATACATTAAGTCTGACAAATTCTAACTCTGGATTTCATCTATTTATTTTTAACTAAAAATTTGGACCTTTTAATGGGGAAATGAAATGTCTTCAGGTGTCCTACATCTCTGCTATAATTCTGTTGTGCTTGTGTGACCTCACACATTGTTCAGGTGTCTACAAAGTGGGTTTCTCAAGGAGCACCTGCTCTTGATACTTAGAATCACAGATCTGTCTACATGGATTATTTTTTCCACATTTCTATTTCAATCTGCCGTTCTAGCTTCTCTTTCCTGTATTTGACATTACAGTGATTTGTAGCTAGAATGTGATTCTGCTGTGACCAAAATAAATGCCAGCCCAAGCATCAAACATTAAAACCACTAACTATTCATCAAATTCTATTTGTCCCTCATCTCCCTGGTCTTTGCTTCTCTCAGTTTACATGGTCATTTCCTTCTTTGAAAGTTATGTGAAATATAGTGAAAATGCATGTTGTGCCACCCTGGTCTAAAGTGCTCTGCTAAAGCCAAATATTCCCTGTCTGGTAGCACCTCACACAATGTCAAATCATAACTAGGAAAGGCTTTCCTCCCTGAATGGTGTTCAGACCCCTTCAGAATACTTAATTTAAAAATATATTTAACAACTTCTTCAGCAAATGCATAATATAGGCAGCCCATGAAATCTAACAGTATTTTTCACCTATTGCCTGCAAACAGTATTCTCAAATACTACTGGTAATACAGACAAGCCATGCAAGTTGCATTGTGGCGGCTACTGGACTACATATCTCAGAATCCCGAGTGCCTCAGGTACTGTTGTATCACTTCCTTGATCAGGATCAATCATACCTGCAGCTGGTGTCTGACTATGGGGAGAGAGATCATGTGTTGGGTATGCATGAAGGCTCCCAGTTTGCTGTTTTAGTAAGTAAACACACTTATTTGAAAAAAAAAGCTACTTTATTTTTTTAAAATTATTATTAATGTTGTGGGCATGTGATTCTAGTTCCTCTGTGACTGTGCAGCAAAAAATATTGCTACATGGTATTGTCTTTTGTGTTGCATTCTCTATAAAATCAACATGTTAATTTAAAGGATTTTTTGGAAATGGTGATGCTTCCCAATTCCTTTGCATCATTTTTTAAGTTTTAAAGGAAAAAAGATTTATATGAAACCAACTCAGAAGCATTTTTATTAATTAAAGAAAACTCTTCTATCAGGAGTAG